GGAGGCCGACCAGCCTACAAGCCCAGCAACTGCGAGGATGGCTGGCTGGAGAGGCTGAGACAAGGACCGTCCCCAGAGCTGACAGAGAGAGAGAGCCATCCCCTAGGTCTGGTGCCCTGAATTTGAACTTCTAGCCTCCTAAACTGGGAGAAAGTAAATTTCTGTTTTGTAAAGCCACTAACCTGTGGCAGTTCTGCTACAGTGGCACTAGCACTAAGGCATCTGTGGCACTAGCTCCACGTTAACGTCCTTTGACACAATGTGAATAACTAAAAAAAAAAAAAAAATGAAAATACCCATTGCTGTACTGACAAACAGTGACCTCCGGTTTTCAGAAGTTGATCACCAGGCCTATCTCTAAGTGCCTCTGGGGGAACTTGACCCCCCACCCTTCTGGTTCATGGTTGAGCGTGTTCACCACTCGCACCACCTAGGGACTCCATAATGTCAACTGCTGTCGCATGCCATCAAGCTGACTCTGACTTCTACTGACTGCAGGTGATAGAGCTCAACTGCACAACAGGTTTCCGAGGCGGTAATCTTTGTGGGAGCAGATCACCAGGTCTTTTCTTCCGTGGAGCAGCTAGTGGGTTGGAACTGGTTTGCCACTGAGTGCTTAACCACTGTGACACCATAACTCTGGACAATGTAAATACACACACACGTAGTAAAATCACCCCAAATACTGCCCCAATCGCCAGCTATGATCTGTAACAACAAGAACTTGGCCAGGCCCTTCTGCTCCCACGACGTGGGCCCTGTATGAACGTGGATGAGACCGGAGCTGACATGGGAGCCCAGGTTTGTATCATGTGAGCGTCAGCTGCCTGTGGGTCAGGGCATGGCCTACTCGGTTGGCCCTGGTGGGAAACAGGGTGGTTTTATGCGCTTGTTCACGATTTACATAGGAAGCTTGCCTGGTGTTTCACCACCATCTCCCTAGGAGCTACATTTTTCCTTTCCCGTTGAAAACTTAAGACAATATCTGACTTTTGTAAATTTTTAAAACAGCTTTAAGGTACAGAGGACAGTGGTGGTTCAGTGAAAGAGTTCTCAGTGTCCATGCAGGAGATCTCCATAAGGAGTTTCGGTGGTGTAGTGGATAAGGCATTTGGCTGCTAACCAGAAGGTCAGTGGTTCAAACCCACCAGCCATTACACAGAAGGAAGATGGGGTGATCTACTTATGTAAAGATTTACAGCCTTGGAAACCCGATGGGGGTCGCTATGAGTTGGAATCGACTCTATGAGTTTGTTTTTTTTTTTGGGATGCAGGAAATCCTGATTGAATTTCCAACCAGTGCACCTCCTGCCCGGCCACCCCTTGTCTGTCCCTGGAGGCCTGCGTATTGCTGGGATGCTGATAGGCTTCAGCGGAGCTTCCAGACTAAGATGGACTCGGAAGAAAGGCCTGGCAACTGACTCCAGGAAATGAGCCAGTGAAAGCGCCATGGGCTACAACGGTCACAGTGAAGGCACAGGACCAGGCAGAGTTTCTTTCTGTTGTGCACAGGGCCGCCTGCCATGAATCAGGGGCTGAGCTGACAGCAGCTCAAAACAACAGCAACAACAACACACAGAAAGTCAGTGCCCCCAAGCAGTGAGTGACTCCCTACTCCATCCCTCCTGCCCCAGGAACCACCAGTAAACTGTCTCTCTGCATCTACTGGGCCAGACATTTCATGTCAGATTTGTCCTTTGGTCTGGCTTCTTTCCCTCAACATGATCTTCTCTTTCTTGTAACAGGAGGCCCAGCCCCTGAGGGAAGCTCATGGGATACCCTACAGAGCCCAGTTCTACTTTGATACGTGGCTTTGCCAAACATGATGTTTTCCTCCAGCAGCTGCTCCCTCCTGATGACGTGTCCAAAGCAAGCACGCTGGACAGTGTTCTGTTGCAATCCACGGTTTTCACTGGCTGAGTTCTGGAAGCAGACCTCCAGGCCTTTCTTCCCAGTCTGTCTTAGTCTGAAAGCTTGGCTGAAACCTGTCCACCATGGGTGATCCTGCTGCTATTTGAAATACTGTTGGCATAGCTCGTAGCATCACAGCAACACGCAAGCCACCACAGTACAGCAGACTGACAGTCAGGTGGTGGCCAGGGGCTGAAGGACTCATGAAATAAACTTCCTGTCACGCTGTGAAGAGTCATGTTGAAATGGCCTTCAAGAGGGAGAGGAATCTCAAAGCTCTGGATCAACCTCAGTCTGTTTGTTGTCCTTGATGGTCGCTTCCTTCCTGAAGGGCTGTTGCCTTCTGTTTCTGGAAGTTGGCACTTGGGCTTCCCCAACTGCTGAAGGTCAGGGCTCCTCATCCTGCTGCTCATTGAATTGCCTGGGGCCTTTAAAAGTCCCATGGCTGCCATCAGAATCTGGTGTGGGGGGAGTGTGAGGTATTCCTGCGTGCAGCCAGGCCATGGAACCTTCCAGAATGCCCAACTCAGACCCTAGACTCCTCCTCTCCAGCTGCCACTCTCCTGGGAGACCCTGGAAGCCCTATGGCTCTACATACCATTAACAATACACAGATGGATGGCCTCTACTTTTTGTTTCTGGCCCTGACTGCAGCCTGAGGGTACCTCAAATGCAGCAAGTTGAAGCTTGAACCAACTTGAACTTCCCTGTCCTCTCAGACCATCAGATGGCAAGTGGTGAACTCCTACCAGACTCTCAACTGTGTCAGAATCCTACCCACACTGTACCCAGCCTGGCCTCAGTGGTTTCCATGATGCCATCCTAGGCCATCTACCCATAATTTACCCATCTATCCATCCACCTATCCACTCATGAATCCAACCATCCATCCATCCATCTACTCATGGAATGAGTCAACCATCCTTCTATCCATTCATTCATCCTCCACTCATCCATTCATTCATGAGTCCATCCATCCATCCTCCACCCACCCATTTGCTCATGAATCCATCTATCCATTCCTCCACACAGTGGCCAGGGGACTCGCACTCTCAGTAGGGGGCAGACTCCTCAAGCCTGCCCCATGGGCCCCTGTGGCCTCACCTGCTGTCCCACACCTGGACTGGCAACCCTGGGTTGAATCTGGCCACATATGTCCCTCCATCTGTGGATGGTTCAGGGCTGCAGTGGCAGAGCTGATATGTGTGTGTGGACACATTTCCTGTCTGGCCTTTTTCAGGATATGTGGGTCATTCCCTGCTGCACCCCTCTTCTCCCCATGCCCTCACACTCCGTGCTCCTGTCCTCTCTCAACTTGCACCCTTGTGGCATGTGGATGGTGGCCCAGGGGTCACCTTAATGTGGGGCTTCCCTCACCACTTAGTGGCCTGAGACCTCTTCATGTGCCTGTTGCGAGTGTCTCTCCCAATCCTAAGGGCAGGAATTCTGTGGAGTCTAAGAGTCCCCAACAGATAGGGGATCCTTGGATCCTTGGTTGACATGAGCAGACAGGACCCTTCTCCTCCAGCCCCTGCACTCCCTGGGGGTTGATGTAAGTGTTCTTCTGGAGGGATCATTCACTCACCCAAGCACTACCACCCTTGGGAGCACACTGGAAGGGCCCTCGCCACTGAAGTCCCTTGTCACCAGAAACCTGTCACTCCCAAATGGCACCAGTTGGTCCAGATCCTTGGCGACACTGCCTCAGAAACCCGGTATACACCCACTCCTGACTTAGCGACATGGTTAGGTGCTGAAGACCAGGTCATTATGTGAAAATTGGTATTATGTGAAAATGTAAGATGACTACATCAGATCACAAAATGGAGGGTGACTACATCATGTAATTGCTAAATTACACCATGATGTAACCGCCAAATTACCTTCATTATATAAATGTCAAACCACTAAGAATCATGGCTCAGCCACATTGACACATAGCCTTTTTCTCTCCTTGAACTTTGGCGTTCATTACTGCCAGATGTGTCATTAACACACAAAACAGTTGGATAGGTTTTTTACTATGGTTATAAATGTGAAATGACGGATAATGAGACAGTAAATAAGGAGTAAGGTATATTCCTTAGCCTTCTGAGTCTGGCCACCTGTAAATCTGATCACTGGCCTTTGTCCAAAGCCTGGAAAAACGGCTGAGAGCAGAGCCTGTTGCACAGGGCAGTGGCCTTTCTCCTGGGGGATCCCATCTAGTTATCTATCACTCTACCACTCGCATGCCCGAGTACCCATCTACCCATCTGTCCACTGACCCATCCACCCACCCATTCACTCATCCATCCATTCACGAATCAATACATCTATCCATCCATCCACAGCCTGGACTGATGCCTGCGATGGCCACTTACTCCCCTCTTACTGCAAGAATCCCTGACAGCCCAAACTGATGTCAGCACCCACAGTGTTTGCACTCATACCAGGGTCTGAAACTCTGGGCTGATACCTGTGATGGCTGCACTCACTCCCTCTGCCAGAGGGACCCCCGAGACCCCAGACCAACTCCTGCAGTGCCACTCACCCACGCACGATGCCACTCTCCAGGTAGTTGACTTGGATGAACTTCCCGAAGCGGCTGGAGTTGTTGTTGTGGGCTGTCTTGGCGTTGCCGAAAGCCTGTGGGGAAGCAAAAGTGGGGTTTCAGACCATGCTCCCTCCAATGGCAGACACCTCACATCCCTAGGAGCTGCTGTCACTCAGGGTGCAGGGAAGGGCCAGAATCACCCTGGATGTGGCAGAAGCCTGCAGGTACGACTCAGTGTGCAACCACTCCTTGGAAGGAAGGTTGGGCAATCCTACTTCTATAGTGATACTGCCTCGGAAACCCAAGGAGGGGTCGCTATGAGTCGGGGCCGACTCGACGGCATATAACAACAACAACAACAACAACAATGTATATATATATAAAATTTGCCATTTTAGCCACTTTCAAGTGTACAATTCAGTGGCATTAGTTATGTTCATGATGTTGTGCAACCACTACCTCTATTCCACAACTTCCTCGTTACTATGAAAGGAAGCTCTGTGCCCATAAGCAGTGATTCTTCCTTTCTGGGCCCCTGACAACCACTAATTCACTTTCTGTTTCTATGGACTTGCCTATTCTGGACATTTTATATAAACAGAATCTGACAATTTTTGTCCTTTTGTGTCCGGCTTTTTTCACTCAGTATGTTTTCAAGGTTCATTCAGGTTGAAGCATGTTATCAGGGCTTCTTTTTTTATGGTTGAGTAACATTCCATTGTATAGAGGGGCCACACTGTGATTCTCCATCCATCTGCTGATGGACTCTTGGACCTTTTGGCTGCTGTGAACAGTGTTGCAGTGAACAATGGTGTGCATGTATGTGCTTGAGTCCCTGCTTTCAACACTCCAAATGGCTTTTACATTCCCGAAAACGATAGGAAAAAATCCAAAGAAGAATAGTATTTCATGACTCATGAGAATTCTATTCAAATGTCAGTGTCCATCAATAAAGTTTTATTGGCACACAGCCGTGCCCATTCATTTACGTATGGTCTGTGGCTGCTTCCATAATACAGTAGCAGAGTAGAGTTACTATAATAGAGAACACCTGGTCTTCAGAGCCTGACATGTTTATCACTGGGCTCTTTACAGAAGAAGTTGGCTGCACCTGGCCTGACCCAAGCTCAGGACTTGGCCAGCCCTGGCTGGGTGTGTGGGTGTGGAGGTGAAGTTGGCCCACCCTCAAGGAGTCCTGGGATTTCAGGGGAAAACAAGTGGGAGGTGCCCCCCCACACTTTTTCCAGGTGTCAGGTACACAGAGTGCAGCAAGTGTGCAGTTTGGGGGTTTCCCCCTCTGAGGCCTCCCAGGTACCCAACCAACCAACTCGCACCCAGATTACAACAGAGATCACTCCTATCCCCCAGGCTCCTCGGTGAGCCCCTTTCTAGCCAGCACCCACCACCCCAGAGGGTTTAATAGACCAGAGACAAGGGGGTAATGGGGTCTTTGGGGGACTCAAGCAGGAAAGGAGCCGGGATGGATGGAGAAGCCAACAGGAGACGGGGCTGGAGGAGGGTGAGCAGCCCCTAGGTGCGAGGGACCCCAGGTGAGAGAGGTTTCCAGGTGACACCCAAAATGAAAAGTCTTCTGGCCACTCCAGGAGAGATGAATCTAGGACATTAAAAACAAAACCAAAACAACAACAACAAAACAGCTGCCATCAAGTCTGACGCATGGACACTCCAAGGGTGCCGAGCAGAACTGCTCCACAGGGTTTTCAACGGCTGTGACCCGTCAGAAACGGTCACCCGGACTCCTAGTCTCCTGAACTGTGAGGAAATGAATTTCTGTCTTTAAAGCCACCCGCTCGTGGGATTTCTGTTACAGCAGCTCGAAGACACCAAGATACAGCATCTCTGGATAGGTTCAAGCCTCTAATCTAAGAGTCGACCATGGTGCCACCCAGAGACTCCTAGGGATGAGTCTACATGGTGATTTCTAGAAAAACAGCCAGGACTGGAGCCCTGGGGACACAGAGTCTGGTTGGAGGCGAGCGCAGCCTGGTCCTGAACACTGGCTCTGAATTCATCAACTGCTCCCAGGAGGGGTGACCTCACGCGTCTGGTATTCAGTCCCAGCACACAGCGTGTCTCAACAGCCGGTCTAAAAATATCCGGTTTGTGTGATTACACGTCTGAGCCAACGAGGAAATGCTGGCCTGGTGTGCGCAGTGAGGGGTGCTATTGTCATTCTCGTGCTGGCCGTAGGGGTGCAACCTGCCCCACGATGGAGCAAGTGGGGTCAGGCTGTAGGGAGGGAGGAAGTGGCCCAGTTGTGAGGCTGGGGAGCTCCAGGTGCCAGTGCCATTTCCCCACGGGCCAGAATAACACCACAGTTCTGGCAAAATGCTCCCGAGGAAGGCTTCCATGTAACCAACTTCTCCTCTTTCATAACATATGTTTTTTTTTAGAATAAGTTGTATTCTTTGGAGAAAAAAAAAATACATAACCTCACAAGAGGCTTTGGGAGTCCCTGGTGGTACAAATGGTTAAGGTGAACACTTGCTTGAAAGGCTGGAGGTATGCGTTTCCCAGAGGTGCCTCAGAAGAAAGGCCTGGTGATCTGCTTCCACAAAACCAGCCACTGAAAACCCCAGGGAGCACAGCTTTACTCTAACAGACACGAGACTGCCCGAGTCAGAGTCGACTCAGTGGTAGCTGGTAAAGCTATGTAACCAGGAGTTCAAACACCAGCAGGGTCACCCATCGTGGACAGGTTTTGGCGGTGCTTTGAGACTAAGACAGACTAGGAAGAAAGGCCTAGTGATCTACTTCCACAAAATCAGCCACTGAAAACTCTCTGGATCACAACAGAACACTGTCTGATACAGCGCTGAAGGATGAGCCTCTTAGGTTGGCAAGTATAAAAATACACAGTGGCCTCAACAATGGATTCAAATGTACCAAAGACTGTGAGCTCGGCCAGTGTTTCACTCTACTGCACACAGGGTTGCCATGAATCAGAACCAACTTGACACCAGCTAATAACAGAGAGGCTTCTTAAATCAGAGACGTCCAGGTTAAACATCCTATCCAGCTCATAATATCCAAGGACATGTTTTTCTCTCAAAACAGGATGGCCTTGTGGGCTCGGGGCCATCATCTCAGAGGACATCAAGCTCAACTGGCATCACATGCTACACAAAAACATTGTTCCACCTCCTATTTCAGTGAGTAGCAAATGGGATCTTAACAGCTTGTAAGCAGCCGTCTAGATGCAATGATGGGTCTCTCCTCGTCCAGAGCAAAGAAGAATGAAGAAAACCAAAGATGCATGGAAACAATTAGTCCAAGCAACTGGTACACCATGCAATCCTCAGCCTATATGACTATGAGACCAGAAGAACTAGATAGTGCCTGGCTACCGCTGTCAACCACTCAAAGGGGGATCTATGTGGGAGATCCTGGATAGAGTGGGAGAACAATGTGGAACAAAACTGAAAATCATTTGGGAAAAAAACAGACAAGGTTTGCTGGTCTGATAGAGCCTAGTAGGACCCCTAAGACTATGGCCCCTAGCTGCCCTTCAGGTCTGGAACTGAACCCACTCTTGTGGCTTCCAGCCAAATGAAAGACAGGCATGTGAGCTGAACATTTACATTAGGTAGATACACTCCTTGGAGAGATCAATCATGGGAGAACAGCAGGGCTATCTATGCACAGGGAGTCAGCTCAGGGGGCAGGAGTGCATGGAGGGAAGGACACAGGGAAGGGATAACTATGGGGAGGAAGTGGGAGGGGAGCTGCTGCCTGTGGGAAATTGCAGTCAATGTCGTGAGACAAAGTGTAGGCGAGCTGCTGTATGGAAAGTGAATTTGCTCTGTAAACTTTCATGCAAATCATGATAAAAAGTAAAACAAAACAAAAACAGCATGGCCCTTGCCTTGGTTGGAATGAGCATTTTTGTGTTTTAGGAAGAACAGAGGGGCAGTGCAAAAGGTTTCTCTTTTGTACTTACTGGACCTAAATTCATAGTTCTGCTGAAATTATTTCCTAGGCCACAATGAGAAGGAAGGGATTGGACAATTTACTATGCAGATGAGGTGTGTAAAACCCTTGCAGGGATTGTCCATTACTAGGGAAATTAGGTGACTGAGGCCTGCTAATAGACTTGGTCAGTTCGTGGTATTGGTGGGAGAAGTAGGCTTATAAAAGAGCTAATCCCAGAGAAGTTGAGGGGGATCTAATTGCCATCAAGAACAGTTGGGAGTGGAGTGAGTCCTTTGAACCTGGAGTCCCTGTGCTGAGAACCTCCTAGACTCAGAAGCCAGAGAAAGCTGTAACACTGCAGATGGCATGAGATGGTTGGTACAAGATGGCCTGAGACGGTGGTAGCAGGGCAAGCGGCAAACCAGGAGATGGGCATAGGACAGCCGTGGTGGGCTTCCTGATCCACGGAGTGAGAGAGCCTACTGTCTTATTAGGGCAGGATGCTTGCTGGCAGAGTGGCATGCCTCCAGGTACCTGTCAGTGGAGCCAAAGAGCTGTAACACTTGTCCAAGCAGGACAGAGGTTGCGAGGAGCCTAGCATGGCCAAGAGAAGGGCCTGCTAGCCTGGCTGAGAGAGAGGCCCTGATGGTAGAAGTCAGAATTAGAGCAAGACTGGCCTGCAAACACTACTGAAAATTGAGAGCTGTCCAGGTTAGAACCTGTCCTGATTGAAGAACTGTATCTTCTTTCCTAAGTTGTATCCTGTTACCTGAGCTGTAATGTGTTACTTCCCTAATAAACCATATAATCATGAGGATGGTCTGTGAAATCTGTGTGGTAATGAATTATTGAATCCAGGAGAGAAATAGAGAATACCATTGGAAGGACAGCTGGTATTAGATTTGGTTAAAAAAAAAAAAAAAAATTGAGAATGAAGGTATGTCTGACCTCCACTTCACAGGAATCAGCTTTGGGCTAATCTTCCTTCTTCTGATCCCTCTTCCTGAAGTTAGGTATTTTCTAATGCTGCCAGCTTACCGGTGAGGACATGTCATCCACACCAACCCCATGCTAGGCCCTTCCTTGCCTGTGCTCTGCTAAGAGACAGACTTGCTGTCTCCATTTTCAGATGAGGGAACTGAGGCAGAGAGAGGTCTGC